CTGTTATCAGGGGAAAGTTGACAAATTCTTTATTACTGAATTGACTTAAATGGAGAAACAGAGTTTCAAGTGCATTCTGCTTCTGATATATAAGTAAAAGTGTGGCCCTTTTGGCTTTAACTATAAAATTATTTTCATATTTAATTTGCATAATAAAAGTTTTTTTTATTTAGCTACTAACAACTAAACTTCAGCCTTGTCTTTGCCCATATTGTCATAAATTCTAATTATTGGTGTCTGAGTAAACACTAAATTGAAGAATGTGAGTTTTTATTTTCTAGTGTAGTCTAAAAGTTGTGACTTCTGTTGTTCAATATCAGAGGAAATATGCTCCTGTTTCATCACATCCTCTCTCTGTTCCCAGTGAAATATTAGTCCATTTGCATGTCCTAATTCAAATACTTTCTCTTGTGTAGAAACTAGATGTTTTACCTTCATAAAACCCCTATTGTACTTTGTACTTATTCTTTTATTCATTTCACCTTGTGAAATTACTATCTAAGGTGAGCGATTGTAGGTAACACACTTCTTGTGTGTTTTCCAGATAAATTTGCATAATGCTAGAGATATTGAGTAATAGCAGTAGCAGCAACAACAGTGGTAACAATAAATTAATTGAACAAAAGTGCCCTCAAAATAGTCCTGAGGTAGGTACTTTATTATACCCATTTTATATCTGGGGGGAACTTAGAGAAATAAGTTAGTTGTCCAAGTTAGCTAGTAAACTGAGAAGTTAGAATAAGAAACCAGGCAGTTAGAGTCTAGAACCTATACATTAAGCTTACTAAATGCAAATAAATATTTATTTGTTTGTTTTATATATAAATATATAATATTTATTATTTATTTATTTATTAAGTGTTTCTTTAAACAAACATTCCAGGCCTCACTCATCCAAATGAGAAGGGTGCATTTTACATATTCTAATACAGTAAGTATTTTGGTTTTAAAAAAATTATAACCCTAAAGTAATAATCCCAAAACAAGCCTCATAAAACTAACTGAAAGCAATTCCAAAAAATATGGCTTTGGAAATATTTTGAGTAATAGCAGCATCACTAGAATCACTCCCAAGGAGACAACTCTGAGATAATGCCCAATTGAATTGAAAAACTTGTAATTAGCTTAGTATTACTTTTTCTCTATTGCCTGCCGATAAGGAACGTCATCCTCTTTCACAGTAATGAGGTCCACTAGCTCTTTTGCCCCATAGCTGTATACAGTGGCAGCCAGCTTCTGGTGACAGCAGGATAGATCTGGGGACTGACGGGTCCTTTGTTTTATAGCTAGCCTTTTAAGGCACTTTAGTTCAAGGAGGAGAGTGAACTCAGATCAATTCAAATATCTCTCTTATTTTTTTTTAAAGATTTTATTTATTTGACAGAGAAAGAGACACAGCGAGAGAGGGAACACAAGCAGGGGAGTGGGAGAAGGAGAAGCAGTCTTTCCGCGGAGCAGGGAGCCCGATGCGGGGCTTGATCCCAGGATCCTGGGATCATGACCTGAGCCGAAGGCAGATGCTTAATGACTGAGCCACCCAGGCGCCCCTATCTCTATTATTTTTATGGCCTGTTTCCTTGTTACCCATTTTCAGCTTCATTTTTCTAGCACTTTCTACCATGCTTTTTAATCTACTTCCTTGCTTGGCATATGCCATCCTTTTACTCACCTTACTACTATTCTCCCTCTCACACCTCTACATAGCCCAGTATTTAAGAGTGCTCTGGTTTCAAGCACGGATCCTCGAGCCAGTCTGCTTTTTTCAAAGCCTGCCTCAACTACCTGCTGGCTATGTGGCTTCTCAGTGCCTTAGTTTCCTCATTATGGGAGTAATGATGGTAGTACTTCAAAGGGTAGCTCTGAGAATTAAATGAGTTCATACATATAAAATGTTTAGAGCAATGCTTGTAATGAGGTCAGTACTTAGCAAATATTGCCTGTTGCCTGTTATCATCATTTTCTTTTCTTTTTTTTAAAGATTTATTTATTTATTTTGAGAGAGTGAGAATGAGAGAGAGAGAGAGAGAGCGCACATGAGAGGGGGGAGGGCCAGAGGGAGAAGCAGGCTCCTCGCTGAGCAGGGAGCCTGATGCGGGACTTGATCCCGAGACTCCAGGATCATTACCTGAGCCGAAGGCAGTCGCTTAACCAACTGAGCCACCCAGGTGCCCCATCATCATTTTCTTTATCATCATTTAACTGATGAAATCCTATGCTTCTTTGAGGTCCTGCTAACGTTTCACAACTCTGTAGCTTTCTCAGAGCCCCACTGTTCCAGGCAGGCTTGGCTCTTCTTCCATGCTGCCACATTGTTCACTCTGCCATTTCAGTATTGGCACACCACATCTTGTTATTTGAACATGCATCTCTTTCTTGATTATTGTAAATACAGTGACATCAAATGTAACGGTGAAGAAAGGAAGAAAGAAGATTGTACTATGTCTAAAATTATTTTGGGGGGTGCCTGGGTGGCTCAGTCGTTAGGCATCTGCCTTCGGCTCAGGTCATGATCCCAGGGTCCTGGGATTGAGCCCTGCGTCGGGCTCCATGCTTCCCCCTGCTTGTGTTCCCTCTCTCTCTGTCAAATAAATAAATAAATAAGATCTTTAAAAATAAAATACAATTATTTTGGGTTATCACCCATATGAATAGTATGGAAATATTTTTAGTCACTCCTAATGTCAAAGAAGCTGGGGGCTATTTCTTCTGTCTAAAGATGTCATAAAATATTTTTCAAGCTTTCTTTGTTATTCATAAGTTTATTGGAAAGAGCAATTTTTTTATTATCTCTATAAAGAAAGTATCAGTAGTTTACATATTTCTAATATATGGTGAACTATACATATAGTATAGTACTACATGTATTTCTAAGCAAACATTTGGAAGTTATAAAATATTTGTAAAATGTTGACATTTTTTTCTGATTCATATTGGCCTTTCTCCAATTAGTCCAAATTAATGACATACTACTTCATGAAAAAGTATCAGTAATATCCATCACTAGCCCCTGATATTAAAACTGGGAGGAAATACTCGATGAACTGTTTTGTTATCTTGTTTTTTCCATCTTAATGTATTTAGAGTAGAATATCTGAATCTATCATGACATGCAGATTAACAAACTTTTCTGAATGCTAATGTGGTTTTACAGTTTACCTTTAAGTAAATGTTTCTGATAATAGTAACTGTATACCATTTACCTTGCAAATTCCATTTTAATTAGCTTGTTTATATGTGGGAGATCATAAATATTTGCTTTGTATATTAAAAATACACCACAAAAGGTGTTTGTACTTAATAATTACCTAACAGATCTTTCCTTTTCTTAAAATGTTTTAAAAATGCTTAAATACTAAATAATTCTAAATATACTTCTCAGAGGCTTAAAAATCAAACAAGTTACTGAAAATTCAAATACATATATTCTTCTTACCACATTTCTCAGTGAAATGGCATGCTATGTTTAGGAAGAGTGTATTTTTCTTTTTCTAGAGTTTATTTCTGGATGGTTAACCAAGGATATGTTAAAATATGTTTATTCTAATGGACGCCATATCTCAAATATGAGTAGTGTCAAATGATTCTGTTATTTTTCTAAGGGATCTGGTTTTATTGACAATAATTAATTGGCATCTCTTTTTAACTTTTTTTTTAAACAGGACAGAGATTTCTTCTGACATCAGATGTCTTTCTGCTTGACTGAACTGCACCTGTGGTCTTTGAAGAATACCTTACACATTGGGGGTAAGTGAGCTCTGGGTTAATTTCAGTATTTTTCAAATATAAGTTATAACGTTATAAGTAAGTACTAGCAAAGGTTAGAGCCTGGATTCTTTAGCTAGAATTGCATTATTTTCTTAATGAAAAATTGGTTAATGAAAAATAATTCTTTTTAGTTACTCTGAAAAAGTTATTTTTTTCAACTTGAGTTAGATTTTCTGTTGTGAAATTAATTTTATTGGCCTAATATTTGTTTCCTTTTAGGATACATACCTGTTCAGTTTTTTCCTGGGATTGTTCATAATGACTGATATATATTCATAAATATTTGCAGGCTAGCTAATGGTAAGGGTATTTCTATTCGATATTAAGATAATATTTCAAACATACAGCTAAGATGTACAATTAATTATGTTTATATTCTTTCATTTGACATTTTGGGGGATGTTTTAATGATGCTTATTAGTATTTTAGCATAAAGTATGTATTGTTGGGAAATAACTTTTAAAATATCTTCTCTTTGATTATCCAAAACAACTCTAGTATTTAGGAGACTTTTATTTATATGCCTTTAGCATCATTACTAAGAGGATGGTTTGCCTTGCAAATGTAATTATAATTTCACTAAGTTTACTTTGCTTAAAATGTGCTAAGGATAGAATTTCCAGTAAAACAAGGTAGATTTAACACACATTCGCTTCCTCCCCAAATTCTTCTAAAATGAGAATAAATGAATTAAAATAAAGAAGGCATAAACCCACAAGGACTAAGAGAATAGGAGAGGAGACAATTGCAATTGGGCAATTTTTGGAAGATGGAAGGGATGGAGGAATTAGCAAAACTTAAAAATCTGAATATCAAATGTCTACAGAAGAGAATTGCAAAGACAGCCACTCTGTGTCTCAGAATTCTAGAAAGATACAGAAATTTGAGAAGCCAGATACTGCAGAAGGATGGGGATTCAGCATGAGGGTGACAACAAAGGGACTTGAAAGTTTGCTTATGAAGTGGTGAGACACCTCTCATACATGTGGAAGTATTTAATTAGAAATGCTCTAAACTTGGAGACATCAGCCCCAGGAAAAGAAGACAGGGGAAAGGTGCTGACGTGAAAATATGATGAAGTGAAAACCTACATACTGATGGGTGAAGTCCTCTTAATCCCACTTGATTCCGAAATGTGTCACAGCCAGTTGTGTACTTTCCAAGAAAGAAGGAGTTTGAGGGCCTGGAGCAACTGCATGACCTCAAAGAGAAGATCTATTGACATTGACATTTGAGGGGTTCCTCCAGTGAAACACCCTGGTCCCTGGCTGATCAGTGAAGCCCACCAGTTGGCAAGCCCTCTTCATGTACACAGAGCTTCTAATCAGTTTTTTAGTGCCTCATTTTTAAATATGAAGAGCAAGAAACAAAATACAGAAGTTTCAGAAAACACTGGAAAGTGATTCTGACCTCTTGGAAATTAAAAATAGCAGAAAAAAATTTTAAACTCAAAAGATCAACAAAGAAAGAATTGTCTCCGAAAATAGAAGAGAAAAAAAAAAAAATCCCACAGGAAGAAATTCAGCTTATTTCACTGCTAGTGAAAGTATAAATTGGTGCAACCACTTTAGGAAACAATTTGACATTATCTAGTATAGTTGGAGCTATATGTCACCTATTGACCAGTAATTCTACTCCTGGGTATATACTCTAGCAAAAGCCCTGACACTTGTGCACCAGGAGACATGTACCAAAATGTTCATAATAGTACTGTTTATGACGCAGGCAACTAGAAACAACCCAGCAGGAGAATGGATTTATGCAACAGAGAAAGTGAATGCATTATAGCTGTATGCAACAGCATCAGTGAATGTCAAGAATATAATATTGGGCAAAAAAAAAAAGTAAGTTGCAGAAGAGTACAAATAGTATGATTGCATTTAGAGGAAGTTCAAAAACAATAGATAGAAAATCTAATAGGAAAAAGTGAAATGAATTCTGTGACAAAAGATGAGATTAATAAACAGGAGCGATAAGAATAGTAGAGTCTCAACATACGAATTCTATACTCAATTACTAATTCTGGGAAAAGCAGCAAAGAGGAAGCAAAGAAATTATCAAAGAAATATTACTAGAAATTTTCCTAGAACTAAGAAAATGAGTTTATAGGTTGAAAAGTCCTGTAAGTACTGAACACAATGAATGGAAGAAGACATATATGAAGGCACATCAGTGTGAAATTTCAGAACACTGAGCATAAAGAAAAAATCCAGAGATCAAAAAAGATATAGGGGCGCCTGGGTGGCTCAGTTGTTAAGCGTCTGCCTTCGGCTCAGGTCATGATCCCGAGGTCCTGGGATCAAGTCCCGCATCGGCCTCCCTGCTCAGCGGGAAGCCTGCTTCTCCCTCTCCCACTCTCTCTGCTTGTGTTCCCTCTCTCACTGTGTCTCCCTCTCTCTCTGTCAAATAAATAAATAAAATCTTTAAAGAAAAAAGATATAGCAAAAAAAGAACAAATGGATCACATACAAAGGGTTGGAACTCAGATTGCCTTGGCCTTTTTAACACTGATAGTGGACACTATGAAGCAATGGAATGATGTCTTCAAAATTCAGAGAGAAATTATTTCCAACTTAGTATTCTCTTCCCAGCCAGCTAGTCAGTCAGTTGTCAGAAGACATTTTCAGCTTTGTAAATACTCACCAAATTTACCTTCCTTTTCTCATTAAACTACCAGAGCATATGTGTCTTGCCAAACAAGGGAATTAATCCAAGACAGAAGGCACACCTGTCTAGTCAGGAAAATAGACTGTCTGTGCATCAGACCTAGAAGTTAGGCAGTCCAGAATAGTACCAGATCATGAGGCTCTAGGGAAGATGTTGCCAATGAAAAAATTATACTGATTAATCATTGAAATGTGAGAGTATATTGGAGATTAATTAGTGTTAACATTCTTAAAAAAAGCTTTTATTGAGAGAGAGAGTGAGCATGAGCGGGGGGAGGGGTAGAGGGAGAGGGAGAAGCAGACTCCCTGCTGAGCAGGGACCCCGATGTGGGGCTCTATCCCAGGATCCTAGGATCGTGACCTGAGCCAAAGGCAGATGCTTAACCGACTGACCCACCCAGGCACCTGTGTTAACATTCTTTTAAAGCAAATAAAAAGGCAATTTTTAACATCAGGGAAGTTGTATAAAAAAAGGAAATGCAATCATATAGTATACCTACCCCATGCTTTGGTTTTGAATAGTGTTTATGTATTCATTAATATTGTAAGCACTGACTTAACCAAAAATTGTGCTCTAATTATACTGGGAGGATGGGGAGAAGTGTAAGTTAAGTGTCTGTAGGTAGGGAGGGGTACACAGTGGTAAAAGATAACTGAATTCTCAATTTCCATAGTGGATAAGCAATAGATAATATCTACAACTGAAGAATCAAAAAATAATAGAGTGAGAAAACTATAAATATGGAGGAATATACAGAAGAAACAGCTCATAGTTGAAAATAGTTATCTCTAAGGAGGAGGTATTGAGGGCTAGAAGATATACAGTGTGGCAGTGTTGCTTATGTTGAAAGACTTGAGCAGTATACCTGAATTTTTTAAAGCCCTGCCATGTTTGAATTAGATATTTTAAAAAGATAGGAAGCCAAAAATAGCAATCTTTTTATACCCCCAAAGACATTGGTAATATCATAATTAATGATATTTTTCTACAAAGCTCAAAACGGTATCAATGCAAATATTCTTTAAAAAGAAGTATGTGGGGCGCCTGACTGGCTCAGTCAGTAGAGCATGTGACTCTTGATCTCGGGGTGTGGATTCGAGCCCCACATTGGATGTAGAGATTGCTTAAATAAATACAAAAACTTAAAAAAAAAAGAATTCAAGGCCTTTTATGTTCTTCATAGTTCTGTTCTAGTGTTGTAAATAATTTGGCCGCACCTAATGATGGATTATTATGCTAGAGAATATTGCCTGTGTTTATAATGCTTACGGTTCTTAGATTTAAAAAAAAAAAACCACCTTTTTATTGAAGTATAGCATATGTATTGAAAAGTATATAGATCATAAGGGTATGTTTTGAACTATCAAAAAATGAACCCACCCATAAAATCATCACCCAAGAAATAAAATATTATCAGTATCTTAGGAGTGCTACTTATGACCTTTCCCAGTCACCCCTTATTATATATTTTCAATCTATCCAATAGAAATAAACTGTAGTCTTTAAAATTATATGTCCTGGGGTGCCTGGCTGGCTCATTTGGTAGAGCATGTGACTCTTGATCTTGGGGTTGTAAGTTTGAGCCCCACATTGGATGTAGAGATTACTTAAAAATAAAATCTTAAAAAAATTATATGTCCCAATTAGTGGCATGATGAATAGAATGGAGCTTTAATAAGTACACAGGATTGACTCTTGAAAAACTCTATTTGAAAAGTTAATTATATGGGGCACCTGGCTGGCTCAGTTGGTGGAGCATGTGACTCTTGATCTTGGGGTTGTGATTTTGAGCCCCATACTGGGTGTAGAGATTATGTAAATAAATCAATAAATCTTTAAAATAATAAAAATAAAAATTATAGCTGTAATACATTTTTTTTTCAAGTTTCATGTTTCAGTTTGAGAAAGTTTGGAGCAGTCAGTCACTAGGGGGCAGCCTGTACTGCTTCCACTACTTTAGAAACAGTTGTATCCTTTTGTTAGTAACTAGAATTATTTTGCATGGAGGGAAACAACTATTACTTCAAAGAAAAAGATATTTCAGTATTCACAGATAAGAATTAAATGGATACGATTATTTGGTTTTCCTGTAATTCAAATGCAAGGACAGAGTTCGTGGTTAAATCACTCTCAACATCTGCGAAGCCTTGCTTTTGCTTTTGCACCCCCACCCCCCGGAAGAGCACCTGAATTTGAATGGGTTTTGAAGGTTTTTTGAGTCTAAACAAGCTTCAGTTAACTTAACCATATGTATGTTTCCTCTAATTTTCTCTTCCTCTCCTGCAAATTTCCCCCAAGCACCATACTAGCTTCCAGCTAAACTGGGGAAAAGAAAGCAATAGCTCAGAAACAGGGCATTTTTTTTCCATCCTCTAATTTCATTTGGCATTGCTTAGTGGCAGTTCCTTTTGGTAGCACCCTGTGAAAAATATCAGAGGAAATGTGAAAGAAAAAAGTTGGTCTTCCTTGATTTCAGTTTTTTTTTTACTACTCCTTTCCTCATGCCCTTGTAGTTTTGTGTAAATCTTTTTAAATTAGATTGATAAACTTTCCAGTTCCTGCATATCCCTAGAATAGATGAACTCATGTCCAGATACTTTTGAACTTATTTATTTATAGTAACATAAAAAGATTGTTTCTGTCCTCGCCTACCCGCCCCCTAACCCCAGTCCTGCTGTATCATATAATACGGTTTGGCTTCTTATTCTCCAGAACTTTTTACCATAATCTAATGTTATTTCTTCTTTTCCATAGACAGAGACATAGGGATCTACCAGTATTATGACAAGAAAGACCCACCAGGTAAACTGTCTATTCTACTCAACTAATTTTTATAAATGAAATATTCTAAACTATAAAATACTGACCATTAACTCTTTTTTTAGCTTTAGATAAATTCTAAAGCTAAAAAAAGTCATTTCAGTTCTTTAGAAAAATACTGAGGTTGAAATCTGTTCTATATAAAATAAAGCAATATCGAGAAAATACTGTAGAAGAACATGAAAATTTTCATTTTACTGCCGATCCAACTGATAACTGGACAGTCTATTCACATTTATCTATCAGTGTCCCAGTAGAGGGCATTGTTAATGCATGGGTCCCACTGTTGCTGGCCTCCTGGATCCTTACCTGATATCTGAAATAGGCATTTCTGAGTGAATGATCAATTTTCTTTATCTGATTAATCCTGTTAATCCCAGAAGTTTCGTGATGGGCCAAAAGGTCTTTCTAGCTAGTTGCTTCCTGTTTTGGTCTCTGTTGAAGTGGGGCTTGTGTGGGCATCCTGTGTGCTTAGCTTGGTGGTTAATAGGCTAACTTCATGATTCTGATGACAGCCTGAAGCAGCTTCTGTCTAGACTCCATTGCAGTTCTTCTCTTCCCTATCTGATGAGATTGTGAGCTCAGGATATTGGCCCACCTGTTGTGCTGTGTAAGCCTTTTTACTACAAATTTAGGAAATACTCAGCAATGTGCATAATATACATTATATGTGTGCATTTAAAATACAAAGTATTTTAATTAAAATATTTCCACTTTTCTTCTTTCCTTCTTTCTCCTGCCATAGTATCAGTGACAGAGCATGGTAACTTAGAAGAAAAGCAGAAGCTGGCAGAATGTAAGCTTACTTTATACTTTTTTGTAATTATTATAAAACTGGAACTTGAATATCCCTGAAGATTCAGTCTTAAAAAATATTTTAAGCTTTCTGCACAAATATCTTAAAATTATAAATTCGCATTGTTTTAGGTATATAAACATATGAGTGAGAATTATATGTGGTAGGCATTTCTAATTTAGACCATTGAAATCTCTATCCAGTTTTGTTAAGATATATGCCTGTGTAAACATAAACTTTCTTAATGAACTATATTTATATCATATAATATATTTAAAATAAGTGTATCATACTTAAATTCTGATAACATTTTGTTACACACACCATGCCTAAATTGTTTATATGTTTTACCCATTTTAAGAAAATAAAATTTGTAAAAAAAAAAAAATTTGTAATGATTAGTATTAGCATTTTATTCTTTCTAGTCTTTTCTGTTCTCAGATATATAGATATGATAATATGGCTACAATGAAAGATGGCTTTAATGACTTGAAATTAAATATAATTTAACTTTTATTTGGAATACAGGTGGAGCTGAAAGTCCTACTTGTTCCCTTGTTTTAAATGGGCAAGCTGACTTTTTTTTTCAAGGCTGTATTAGTAACTACAATATAAATTAGAAAACTTGCATATATGCTATATACATCATACATTATGTTTATAGAATGAAATTAATTTGCTGAAATAAGATATATAGTAATTCTACTGTAAAATTTAAATGTCTGTATATACTATGAGTATGCACACAGAACATACACACATACATACAACTCTTTTTTTAGAATTATTATTTAGGAGAATTCAAAGATGAATTTTCATGATGAAATAGATATGGTTAAATGAATTTAACATTTTGTTCTTTGAAATAAAACTATTTTTAGTTTGTCTTAGGCTAATATTGAGATTTTACTAAATGATTTTATCTTTTAAATGCATTTAAAACAAAACAAAGGCTTATCATTATTGAATTGTGTACATTTTAAAGAGGATCATTTTAAATAAAAAAGTTTTAATAGGTGATGCTTCCTTTTAAATTTATATTCTGCGCATCATATTTTGTGTTTTATTTCTTTCCTCAGTATATCCATTCACTTGTAGGAATTTTCAGGTCTGAGAGAGTTATTTGCAGATTTTGGAATTTCTTTTGGATTGAACTTTTAATTATTTATATGGGAAAGTTATTCTCTGGTAAAGAGTTGGTCATTTACAACTAGGTACTAGATTCACAAGACTAGGAAACTTTCCCAGGGATTCTCTGAGCCGTGTTGGTTGTCATCATAAAATTATGATCACCAAGATTGTTTTGTGGTAAAAATCCTGTTCCTATGACAAAGCCTTTCAAAAGGCTGTTATTTGATGATGGAAATGAAGCCCACTTCCTCTCAATTAAGGAGGTGTTTTATTTTAATCCTCCTAAGGCACACTGCTAAGCAGAGTTTCCTTTTTAAATCTTGTTTAACTAACTGTAGTACATATTTCATTTGCCAGCACGAGATTATCCGTGGACACTCAAAAATAGACGCCCAGAAAAACTTCGAGACTCACTCAAGGAGTTGGAGGTATCTTTCCAAAAGTTTCAAAAATGGCAACAAACAAATCTGTTTTAAAACATCTTTCAACAGTTTTAATTTTCATAAAGGATCAACTCTCCTAGTGATGATAGCTTTGCTTTTGTCTACTGAGGAGTTCCAAAACAGTTGCATCTTTGTGTGGCATGCTGATCTTTTTTTTTTTTTTTTTTTTGTGCTTGCAAATCAGAAGCACTCTGATAACAACAATGTGTATAGCCAACTGCACTCTCTCTTTTTCTGTTTCCTTCAGGAATTGATGCAAAACAGTCACTGTGTGCTGAGCAAATGGAAGAACAAATATGTCTGTCAGGTAAAATGGTTTGACATACTTTTGCAGTGTTTAACCAATGGAGCTGAAAACTATGCAGTAATTGGTATTCTTGTGTTTATGATAGATAATGGACAAAAACTTTTTAGGAGTGGATATTTCATAGTTTGAATTCTAGTCATTCTAGAACTAACATTAGACAGATTGACACACCCACCAGGCTGCCTCATTAATCAATATAGTTGTACTGACACTATGAACACTAATAAAAATGGTATTTTTTGTTTAGATTTGTCTGAATGCTGTATTAGATGTTTCCTGGCATAGATTTAATCATATTTTTGAGTGAAGATAAAAGCACAGGACAGAAGGTTTTTTGGCATATTACTCTAATAAGCATTTGTGAGTACCATGCTTATGGAAACCACCAAGCAGACTAGAGTTAGACCTAACATAAGACATTTGCTCTTACTTTGAACCCTCTAAGTTGTGCTCTTTAATACAATAGCCACCAGTCACCTGTGGTTATTTAAAAATAAATTTAAACTAATTAAAATTAAAGAAAGTTAAAAATTCAGTTCCTCAGTTACACTATCCACATTTTAAGTGCTCAATAACCACATGTCGTCATATATAGATAAAGAACATTTCCATCACAGAAAGTTCTGTTAGCACAGTTAGGGCCTAGACAACATGAGCTGCTTGTTGAATGGGTCTAGATTCAGGACATAATAATTAGTGAACATTGATCAAAAAATAATGGACAAATGCCTTAGCTTTGTTTATAGGCTTAAGAAATACTAGTTGCCTAGAAAAATCTTACTTGTTTGTGATTAAAAGAATCATTAGTCATATTCTACTCATGCGTGTAATTGAAGTTACATTAACACTACTAATAATTATAACTGTTTTATGGAATTGAATATCCTATATGAATTTAAGTTCTTACTTGTTTATAATGTGATTTATTTTAGGTCTAACTATTCTTGTTTGAAGTTTAGGCCTATGGCACTATCCATAAATCTATAACATTGAATTTGTAGTTATTATGAGCATATCTTAATTGAGTATTTGAATATAGACTATCATTTTAATGGACTCTAGTTTTTCCTCATTTTTTGTTTAAACAAGCCTACTTTTATTCATGAAGGTAACTAGTTACCTCCTCAAATGGCATAAATTATTTTTTTCCAGAGACTGTTTGCAAGGCTGAATTAATATTATCAGCAGCATAATACTTTCTAAATTTGACTTAGGATTCTATCCAAAAGAATGAGATTATTTAAAAATTCATAATTTGTTTTCATTAAAGTTTTAATCAAACTTTAAAACTTTAATACAAAATATGTTCCAGGAAGTTTTAAACTTAGTACAACTCATTGTACTTCTCAATGCAATTACTCACCTTAAAAGCAAGCTCAAAATAATTTGACTGGAGGGCAAGCCTACTACCCATAGTAAGAGATCTGTCTTGTGGCCTCCGCCCTTACCATTGCACAGGGTAAGTTGGAACATGTCAGGCATCTTAAAATATGCAGTGAAGCATCCCAGTATGCAATCCTTTTTATTTTTTTTATTTTAATTTTTTAAAAAAGATTTTATTTATTTGACAGAGAGAAAGCACACAGGTAGGGGGAGAGGCAGAGGGAGAGGGAGAAGCAGGCTCCCTGCTCAGCAGGGGCTCAATCCCAGGACCCCGAGATCATGACCTGAGCTGAAGGCGGACGCTTAACCGACTGAGCCACCCAGGCGCCCCTAGGCAATCCTTTATAAATAGATGTTATTGCATTTTAATTTTTAAGCAAGTTTGTATGTATTTGTATGTAGGGGAATACGGAGGAGGCCGTCCCTCATTATTACTTCAATGCAGAAAAGGAATTTTCATGATAGAATATATATAAAATTACTTCTGTAATTTATAGCAAACTGACAACAGTGGTTTCTTAGGCTTTTGTACCAATGAGTCCCTTTTAATATTTCCAATGAAGTGTCTCTTTCTGTATGTTCTGTCATATTTTGTGCTTTATTTGTGTGATTGATAAGTTATTCCTAAAATAGACCTTTTACTACCAGCACATTCTTGATGTGATGGTATATTTTAATAAGATAACTTGACTTCCACCCTGACCATCCTGATTAGTCCACATATCTTTAGGGCCTTTGAGAGACTTCCTAACATTATTTATCCACTTCCTCAATTTCTAAACAAGACTATGAGCTAAGTCTTCTAAAAATATGTGTGTATGTGCATTATCATAAAGATCTCTAATATCATAGTAAATTAAAAATTTGGTGCTCAGTTTTTTAAAGGATCCCCTTACCCTTTTGTTAGTTGCAAAATAAGTACTCCCCAATTTACTCCAGGGTCCTCCTTTTGTGAGGTGTGGTGGCTCCACCATAACACAGGCTTAAATTTCTATTAGTAGTTTTCCCCATATATTTAGCCCTAAAATGGTGACAACTGACCACAACATACTCTAAAAGGGGGTGAAATTAAAGTTCCTCAGTACCTTGGTGCTAACATAGTTGAACTCTCAGTCTTTGATTGTGGCCACTCCTCAACTAATGTAAATCTTTTACCCCCCAAAATGGCAAATTTAAGACTTATGGAAGTTATCTTGGTTTTCTTCTTTTTACGGGATCCTTATTTCTTCAAAAGGTCTAACTGTTTGGAAATCAGCCAGGCAACTACAGAGACATAAAGGATTTCAGAGGATACATTTTGAGCTTAGGTTTTTCCCTCTGTTGAATAATGAGATTTTATGGTTGTCATCATAACGAACGCTTAGTTCATGTTGTTGATCCAATGACTTATAAATTGTACCATTTAAAAATAATTCCTCCACTTGCAAATTCAAAAGTTTATAAATCAAGATTTACTTGTACATATGCTCTGTATGAAAATTGTTTTTTAAAGTTGTTTTTTCAGGCTATGCCTATTCCTAGTTTGAAATGCATTAAAAGTATGAGATGTAATTTAGAGATTTAGTTTCATCAGCCATCAAAATATCTCTCTCTCTTTTTTTTGGTTTTCCTAAAATCATTTTATTATAAGAAAGTGTTTAATAATTTCCACTTTCAATTTCTTAAACCATTTTACAAACTATTCATTTTATAAATATTTTACAAAGGAAATAATAGTTTCAGCATTCAGAGACTATTAAATTGTATACCACTATGGTGGAATTTTTAAATTCTTTTAATTATTGTGCTTTAAGTCACATTCATATTTACAGGTTATTGCATAATTATTAAGATAGATATAAGCAAAGTTATTAAGATAGATATAACATCATATATGTCGATTTTAGATTAAATTATTTGAATCGAATATGTATAGTCAGCTACAAAAGTATATGATATAGTTAGCTGTACCCTGATTTCTTTCTGTAACAGTTCCACATTTCTGGATACAATTTTAAAATGCCAGTGGGGAGCCTGGGTGGCTCAGTTGGGTTAAGCGGCTGACTCTTGGTTTCAGCTTGTGTCATGATCTCAGGGTCTTGGGATGGAGCCCTGCAATGGGCTCTGTGCTCAGATGGAAGTCTGCTTGCGGATTCTCTCTCTCCCTCCTTCTCTGCCCCTCCCACTGCTCATGCTTTCTCTCTCTATAATAAATAAATATATCTTTTAAAAAAATGCCAAGAAAAGATAGTTTTCTTTTTTGGTTCTTATAATGAATTACTTGACATGCTATGTAAGAATATAAATTATTTTCTAAGCCTACCACAGGTAAATTGTGAGTGTATGGAACTCATTTTATCATAATTTCCTCAGTTGTAGAGTTGATAGCATCATTAGCTGATCTTTCATCAAATTGTATTGAAAATCAGTTTGGTTTTCTCATAAAATAATAATTGACAAACCATGACTTTAAGTTACAACTATTAGAAACAGCATATTACTTATATAAAACTTATTACACTGTATTTATTGAGTGCCACCATTATGGGATGCACTAAGGAAGTGTAAGATGTGGGCTGAGTCCCCAGTATAACCTAATCAAGGAATATAGACACATGAAATCACTAAGACACTAATGAGTACTAAGTTGTAGGATACCAGGTAAAAAGATAATAAAGTTTAGTGAAAAGACAGTAAGAGTTTAGAGAGAAACCATAGAGATTAGCATGGCATTAAGATGTAGGATAAAACAGGAAAACTAGAGGCAGTTTGTATAAAGAACAAATGAGATAGGATAATTATCTTCTGGAAACACCAACCCAGAGGGTTTCTGGATTTGAAGATGCTAAGCACAATACATAGTAGAAGTGAGGTGGCTAGACTGAGAATAAGGGGATTGAGTGAGAGTCTGTGTCTGGAATGGTGAGATATTCCTCAGCTCTTTCCCCTCTCTAGCTGTGAGGTGTAAGTCTCTGTGTAACCTGTTTAAGGGATCCTTCTCTGAAAAAAATAGATTATTCCCCTCCCCCACCCGTCGACCCAGCGCAATGGCTATAGATACTGATATTTGGTAGTTTCCTTTGAAAACGTAGATGGGCCAACCAATATCCTTATAGTGGAGTTATAAGTTAATAAGCTTACCAGTGCATAACAAGCTCTCATTAAATTTTTAAAGAGACTTACTTTTAAATATAACCAGAGAGCTAGAGATTATGATACTTTTGAAGAAATTCTCCACCTGTAAATCCAAGATCTTTGTGTGTGAGTTTAAAAAAAACTAAAGATAAAGAATCAGGGACAGTGCAATAAACAGAACTAAATTCAGGGAATTAAAATTAACCCACAGAGATGTAAAAGGAGCTGTTGCATCTTTAAAACAAGAATAGGAACCTATTTTTAGCAAAGGAATACTTGAGGAAAAGGGAAGGGCCTCTTGGGAATTAAAAATATGACATCATTTAAATAGAAAAACTAATAGAAGAATTGAAAGAGAAAGTTCAAATATCGCTGTACTGCAGAACAGAATAACAAAAGGACAGAGGGTCTTTCATAAGAAAGAAGTGAAGAGAAATCTTAGGATGATAACTGTGCCTTAGGCCTAGAGAGCAACTAGTCCAAATTGGGGCAGGGGACAGAAG